GGGGGTCATATTTGGTGACTATCCTCAAATCTTTGTTCACATTTATACTGTCCTTGGTTCTAATATTTCCAAACCACATAATAATGAGAAATGTTAAAACCAATTCAACAACAAATAGTCAGCAGTTTTCTATATACAGGAAAAAACAGCAACTTCCTCAGTACAGGTGTAGATGGCTCTTCTTGGCCACTGCTTACACACGCGCATCAAATAATTACATTATTATTATTAATCTAAGGGTCGCTATAGGCTTTGTCACACCTACCCTAGCCTTCTTTGACCAGTGTAGCCACATGTTTAAAACAATATAATCAGCAGATAAGCTTTCAGATTATATATTTAAATCCAAACAACCATCTTGGCCTTATTTTTGTAATTGTTTTTTACAGTTTAAAAAAAAGCCCCACAGCATGCCAAAACCAAGCAAAAATAAAGGAATTGGTTGCTTTACTAGTTAAAAAATTTCCAATTCCTGCTATTGTTTCTATATTTTTGGAAAGGAGACTAAGAAATAAAGCTTGTACAGTAAAGATTTTTCCAAATATACTAACACTGATGTTTATTTGTCTTTGATTAAACACCGACACATTTAATACTTTATCAGTCTGTTTTATGCAGACTTCAAACCTCTCCATCACCTTCTCGACCCAAGGTTAGAGGTCAGCAGCTCTTCAACTGACCTCTAAGGTCTGTAGGGGGGTTGGCGCCTCCTGGAAACAAGCTACAGCCAACCAGAGTCCAGCTCTTTGGCCCTCTGCTCTGCTTTCCCAGGGCCTCATGATATTCATCATATGTTAATAACCTTAACCCTATTGATCATGGCCAAACACCCTGACCTTTAGCCATACGGGGCCAGTGGTTACTTCAGCCAACATTTAGCAACATGAGTCAACAGATTTCACAAGGAAAAAAAATGCAGTGTTTGTTTTTGATAGGCTAGAACATGGCAATAAAGAATCTACAGTTAAACATACTGGGGGGCAAAAGTGTGCACAGTGACAATTACTATTATCACTGAGGGTTTTGAGAAGGTGACCAAAATGTACTTTTCGCATAAATTATTAGTACTGAGTAAACACTTTAGCACATGCTATTTGCCTGACAAATGATTTTGAGCCTTGAGTTATGACTAGAAGGCTTTAAATGATTAAATCAATAGTTAGTTCTAATCAATACATAATTACACTCGTGTCTCCTCATTTGATTGGATATTGGAGTTTGGCGATGCATGTTTTTAAGTAGTAATCCTCTGAAATCGGTAAACATCCATTCATAGATGTAGCTGAGAAGGAGAGTGTGATATGTTTTGTGAGGGAGCACCGTTACCAGCTTGATGACTTTATTTACCTGTGCCAGTGGAGGGAGGTTTTGCTGATACAGCGTGGCTGAGCTCACAGCTGGAGTCCATTGTATTGCTACTGAATGAGAGCCTGGAGACAGGAGGGCCATTGTCAAAAGGCACAGTCGCTGGATCAATATCTGAATTCATTAAGCAGCTGACTAGTAGCCATCAATATCTCGTCATAATTACTAGGCTCTACTATAGGAGCAGATGCTGTTCAATGTGACCTTATTAGCTGCTGGTAACTGATAATTCAAAAGTTCATCTTATTTTGTTGTCCAGAACATTTGATCTATTGAAACTGGTTGTTGATTTATGATCAGTGTGTAGGTAATCTAGTCAATGCTTCTGATCAGTGCTTGATGCTGAAATGTTAACAGCCTAAAAGAATTCAGTAGTCTATAGGACTTTATGGTATTTACAAATCCATGAACAAACTAATAGGCATGGAAAGGCTGTGTCACATGCAGAGTAAGCAAAAATGGCAAATTACATAATGGAGAAGGACAACAGCTGGAGGCCCCATGAAATCCCACAAAAAGTTTACAAGTAAGCCTTAAATATTCAGAAAGTCTCACTGAGCTAAAAATATGTAATTAAACACAGAGTTAGATTAGAACAAAAGAAAGAAAGGACAACATTATGCCATAACAAAGCAGTTTTTACTTTTACAGATGACCCATATTATTAATACATTAATAGGAATTTACATACAAAGGGTGAAACTCAATGTCACATTCATTTAGCGGTGTAAGCTGCAGGCTGCATGAAGTATTCCTGTCTGTGAGATATGCTGTTGTTCAGGTGAGGGCCTTAAAGAGCTGTGATAATGAGCTACATCAGATTTGTAATGCCAAACAAATTGTGGTCTGTGGGCTAGCAAGGTGTTATTTTTCTTTTTAATGATTTTTCACACTTTGCAAAGCCAGCCAGTGGGACGAGCTGTCTGTATGTTTGAAACCTCGGGGCTAGACCACCATGTAGGTGTTATAAATAAAAGTATTTAGTTAAAAATAATAATAATTAGAGATTGTCATCTTGTGAGACTTTCCAAGGAGCGCGTGGTCATCTGACTTCCCTTTTACGCTCGTTTATTATGTGCGCATGCGTTAGAGGGCGGGGTGGGGCCCCCTCTCCCCGGTACCCCAGTAGAGCCGCTGGTGCTATACTGCTGGCAGAAGCCTCATTGGGGATTTGAGAGCATCACGGAGAGGAGCACCGTTCGCTCGGTGGGGGAAAAATGACAGAGCACTCTGGATAAATGGCACATTTTAAGATGAAATTTTTCCAGCACTGGTTGCTTTTTGTTTTGTGTCTTCCTTTATCAAGTAAGTGTTGGTTTGTTTTTTAAATAATTGATATTATGGTTGTGAATGAGCTAACTTTTAGCGGTGCTTGACCTTTTCTGTCCACACTCCTCTACCGTTGATTGTACATTACCCTTATATTGCCTACAGCCGTTCTTCTTTGAAACAAACTATTTTAGCTCTATTATTTGAACATAGCTTTGCTTTTTGTTCCACGTTGAATGAGATGAGATAAGATGGCATGTCGCTAAATTTTTAACTTTAAGGCGATAAAGCTCCGTCGCTTGGGACGCTTGCCTTCAGCCTTCACGTCAGATACCCATTTCACATCATTGTTTCCGAATTTCATTTTGTTTCCGAAAATTGTCCTAACACGTTAAATATTAACATTAAGACATGCATCTGCTTTTTATAGAGTTTGTTATGTTGAGAAAATACATGTATGTCAACTACATAATGCTGGATGGTCTTTAAAATAAAAATAATCCTGTTATCAGTGAGGTTTTTCTGACAGGTTATAGAGTAAATATGACCTGCTTTAGTCTTCTTCTCTTCTTAATAATGCAGCCTCTCTTTCCCTGTAGGTGTTTTATGTTTTAGCGAGTTGTCCTTCATCACAGAGCCCAGTGATGTTACTGTGTTACCAAAGGACCCTGCTGTATTGGACTGTCAGGCCCATGGACAGCCTCCAGTCACCATCAAGTGGCTGAGGAATGGGGTTAAGCTGGCAGAAAGTGAGCACATACACTTCCTGCCAAATGGCTCCTTGTACATACCAAAGATAAAGCATACCAAGGAGGATTCAGATGAAGGATTCTACCAGTGCCTCTCCCAAAACAAATTTGGAGCTATCTTAAGCCAAAGATCACGTTTGACTATCGCAAGTGAGTATGGATCTCCAGGTGAAAGAATTTCCTAACTTGGACTTTCTTCCTTTCTTCCATTGATCAGTGTGCTGACTGGTTAGACTTGCTGATGGTATTGACTTTGTGGTGTTGTCAGCATGCAAAAATCACAATGGCAAGTTCATGGACAACAAACCTGGAAAGGGGAGGCAGATGTACCTCAGTCCCTCTCCTTTTATTTTCCTTGGAAGATCGTCTGAAACACAAGCTTCTGTGTCAGAATTCAAAGCTGCTAGTCCAGTGTTAAAATCACTAAAAGACCGCTAAATGTAGATGGGGGTAAATCTAAAGGTTCATAAATACTCCATAATCAAGCAGACCAGGTTTTCTGTATTTTGACTAAGCATCACTCACACATTTTATGGTATGTATCCTATAAATAGTGCCAAAAGTAAGGTATTATCAGTTCCTTTCTTTAAATATGAGTGGACTATACTGGTGTGTAATTGACGGATGGTCTGCTACCCCAAGGAATCTCTGAAAAGCATTTGCCTTTAAGCCTTTGTTTGGAGTGCCCCTGACTGATCCAGAAGAAAAGGCCTGATTCTGGGGCATTTATTTGTCCACATATCAGTGGCCAGGACAGCTGTGTCTATACAATGGGCCTGGTCTACCATGGACACTTTTCATAGTTCTTAGAAGGGGATATCCCATGACGGGTGTCATGGAAACTAGTACTGGCCTCTGCAATATACTGAGAGGGCACTGGGGTTATAGAGATCAGCATTAATACTCAGCATTAGAAAAAAAACTACAACTTCAATCCAAGAGGATGAGATTCAAAGCAATAAACTTTTTTTTTTACAATTTATTTGCCCAGTACGGACATTTAGAGAGGCATCTACACATAAACCTGATGGGTTAGCAAACAGAAGCTAGTGCATGTTTCTGTCGCTGGACATTTGATGGAGGAAAACAAAAGTTTTTTATGTTTGAATAAATTCATCCCCACTGTTGATTTTCCACCAAAATGCACTCTTTGCAGTTGTTTTCTATTTAATAAGAATAAGTTGACCACTTGAAAATATTCCAAAGTCAAGTTTGGTTTGGGATTCAGCCATTGTCTGTGAAAGGGTTAAAGGTTTTTGGTCAGCTGTAGGCAGGGGAGTGGAGGATGGGGCTCCTCTGTGCTCCCCTTCTGTCCAGAGGTCCTGGGGTCAGGGGTCAGCTGGGGAAAGGCTTTATGATGTCACAGGCCTGCTTTAGCTGGGTCAGCCTGCTGTTCTTCTGCCCAGCCCACAACCCCTTTCACTGGATCAGCCTCTCTGTTGCCCTGTCAAGCACAGCGCTTTTGTTAAAGAAAGGCCAGTTTGTCATGTGAGTGATTGAGCCTGATCCTCCACATAAAAGGAGGCATTTTTAAGGTTATTTCTTTCACCAAGTCCCCAATTTTAACAAATCCAAGAACTGGAAAGATGTCAGAAATCATGTCTTTCTGAACATTGCTTACAACAGTTGATTCCAAATGGTGTGCCACAAAAAATTATGAATGGAGTTGAAATTTACTACATTAGTACACAAAAATGCTTACCTTTTTTTAAGGAAGATGGCATTTCTAAGTTGGTAAAACTCATCAGTTAATTGCAGGGAAAACCACACAAACCATGTAAAAGGAATAAAAGTGTTGGGAGAAACAGCTGCAAAGGCCAGCTAGGTTTTCTCACACTTTTGTGTCTTCATCTGACAATCAGAAGATCTGATTATATTCCAGCTGGCTATAGAAACTATTTCTTTTGCAAATATGAACACAGGTGTGTCTTTAAATTTTGGCCTGCCCTTTGATATGTATATAAAATCTATTTGCAATAGTTCAGATCATTGCAAGTATCTCATTTGGGGGAGGAAAACCCCCCCCCCACATTTGAATCACCAGGTCTCTTTGGTTGACCAATAGTAAACTGGCTTCGATCTGGCCAGTTTGGGCTAAAATGGAATTGACACTGGGTTGCAGTGCACTTTGACCTCTTTGGAGAGACCTTTCTGTTGTTTGACCTAGACATTGATCTGCAGTCTACAACAGAGGTGACCATATTAGCAGATTGGCCACACCCTCCATCTACAAGAGCAAAACCAGGTGGTCAGCATCGTATTGTTAACGTCCTACCAGACGCTGTGTGTGTTTTCAGGATGTCCACCAGCTTGTCTTGGTGTCAGAAATAGGAGCATGTGGCTAGTAACAGACTTCACAATAAGACAAATGATTGGCGACTAAATAAGTGTATTTATTTTTGTGATATTTTGCTGTTGTACATTAACCTTAAACCAACCCCTTATTGCAAGTTCAGAGAAACAATTCCCAAATCCATTCAAAAAGCAGTCTTTAATTCGCCTCACAGATACAGAATCAAAGTTTTATTTGTTTGATACTGATGAGACGAGAGTTTAAATTGAAGCATTGCTCTTCAATTATTGATGTTCTAAATCCCAGAATCTGAATGTGGAAGTTTTAGTGGGTAAACAGAGCATTGATTTCCTTTAACATGATATTGACTTCCTTCCTGTGAGTGAGGGGGCAGGGAGATGGTTATCACCTTAATAAATGAAGATCATTGATCATATCTTGTAGCCTTCAGTTAAATGCAGATTGGTGGTTGCTTATTTGTGGTGGCTATTAAAACACGTTTCGGAAGTGCATAAATAAAGAGTACACTGTTTTTGTAATTTTAAAGTAGATTTAAATGTCTAAAATATGTGTAAGAAAAGCTAATTGTTGCATGTGTGTGCAAAAAATAACCACAGCGTTATAGTTCAGCATTGTTCGACTTTTCTCATGTCTACTTTTGTTTACAGTTTTGTTTTTTGTTTTTTTTTATGTGAAGTGAATTGATTACTTTTTATATATAATAATGCATCATTCAGTGTCATTGTTGAACTGATCCATTGATTAGGCCAGCTGGTCAGAAGAGGACCTCATAGCTCATCTGCACAAAAATAAAATCAGTACCTTTCATCTAATCAATTACCATTCATCAAAGTCAGGGCATTGCATGCATAATGTATATTTTACCAAAACTAAAACAAATTAATTAGTTGAAATTGATTGTTTAATTTTTTTCACAGGTATCTCAGAGTTTGTGTTGCATCCTGTGCCTGTTGTGGTGACTGTGGGATCTGTGGCACGATTCTCCTGTGCAGTCATCTCAAGCCCACCTGCTACCATAACCTGGGAGCTAAACCAAAGGACACTGCCACTGCAGACAGACAGGTAACTGCAGAAACATAATTATAACTTATTTAGGCACATTTTTATTAGTTTATTTTTTAGCCTACAGCTCCATCTTCTGTTGGGTTTCACATGAGCGTTCTAGTTTGACCCAGACCGTATGTTTTGTATGTTTTCAGAATAACTGTTTTGCCAAACGGAGTTCTTCAGATTCACAATGTACAACTGGAGGATGCCGGACACTATCAATGTGTGGCAACTAACATTGGTAGTGTGTTGAAGAGTCGAGAGGCCACACTGACAGTCAACCTAGGTAAATTAATTGCACTGACTGCATTTTATGAATGAATGTTAAGCACTGTCATTCCCTGACTTTTTTGTTTACATTTTCTTGTGAAGATGCAGGCCCTAAACTACGTCAAAGACCCAGAATCATTGCTGGACCTCAAAATGTGACAGTTTCTCTTCACCAAACGGTGGTGTTGGAGTGTGTGGCCACAGGCAATCCCCGGCCCATCATCTCCTGGAGCCGTGCTGACAGTAAACCCATTGATGTGTACAATGCCAAAGTGTTGGGCAATGGAAACCTGGTTATTACTGATGTCAGTACCAAGCACAGCGGAGTCTACATTTGCAGGGCCACCACCCCTGGAACCCGCAACCACACCACTGCTGCAGCCAACCTCACAGTATTGGGTAATGATCAGTCTTTGATGATTACGCCACAGATGTCTTCAGATCACATCTTTGGCCTGGTTCTTATATTCAGTATACAGACTCATAACTAAAGGTTTTGCAAATGTTTATACATCCAAGTAACAAATGTGTTAGGTGCAAGATGCCACACAGTTAGAACTCCATGGCTTAATAAAAGGTAACCATTAGCTCTTCTGTTATGCTGTTGTTTCAGTGCCACCAAACATAGTTGAGAAACCTGAGAGCCAGACCCGTCCGAGGGCAGGTACTGCCCGGTTCATGTGCCAAGCAGAGGGAGTACCCACGCCTCACATCACCTGGCTGAAGAATGGAGAACAAGTTCACTTAAATGGGAGGATTAAGATGTACAGCAGGTAAAGTATAGACAGGAGATTTGGGCATGCTTAAATTTAATTAAACATTATGAAAGACAAACCTGCTTAAATAAGCTGACTTCTTTGGCTTTGCTGATTTTTCTTTTTCCTTTTTTCTTTTGTTTCATAGTAAACTGGTGATTACGCAGATCATTCCTGAGGATGATGCCATCTATCAGTGTGTGGCAGAGAATGAACAGGGATCTGTGCTATCCTTGGCTCGCCTTATTGTTGTCATGTCTGAGGACAGGCCCAGTGCTCCGAGAAATATCCATGCTGAGACCATCTCAAGCTCTGCTATCTTACTGGCTTGGGAGAGACCTTTGTACAATACGGACAAAGTCATTGCCTACTCTGTCCATTATATGAAGGCTGAAGGTGAGACAAGAAAGGAAAAAGATGGTTTATTTGATTCTTCTTATAATTTGGACCTTAAAAGGCCCGACGGGTCTACATCTTTATGCTGCATCACACTCTCACATGATCAGCTTTCCTTGGTGAAGGCCATCTGTTGCTGCTGCACAGCGCAGGGGTCAAGGCAACTTCACTTAAATAACAACAGGCTTAGTCAGCCCTTTGTCCACTCCCTAGCTCATTCTGCTCGGACTTAAAGGGACAGCGAGCTTAAAAAAAAATCACAGTTTTGCAAACTAAAGTTGTAAGATTGTATTCACTTTAACCATTAAAGTAATAGCTGAGTCCCTCCAATAAATCATATCTTTTAGATGTTAAACTGGGTTTATTTTATGCTGGCTGGAATCAATTGTATGTTTATCATTTTCATTACACGTTTACACAAAAAAAGAGAATTCAGAAATTTGAATTCTTTCCAAGCGCTGATTGTTTATAGGACGCACACTTAACTACCAAGTTAAACTTGCTTTATTTTTTTCACTCTCTTGTGGATAATCTTACCCTAATTAATGACTTGCTGTATGATTTTTTTTTTTTTTTTTCCAGGTCTAAACAACGAAGAATACCAAGTTGTTATTGGCAACGACACTACCAGTTACATCATCGATGACCTGGAGCCAGCTCGAAACTACAGCTTTTACATTGTAGCTTATATGCCAATGGGAGCCAGTCGAATGTCAGACCAAGTCAGTCAACATACCCTGGAGGATGGTAAGCTTGAAGCGCTTCCAACATTCCTCGCAGTAAATCATTTTGGTAGTTAAGCTAGCTTGTATGCAAAGCATGTTTTGAAAGGAAATTAGCAAGATTGTAGTGTTATAAATCAGATTTTTATTAAGAAAATTTGGTTGATTTGAATAATAAGTAGAAAAATCTCTAGTTTTTAATACATTTTCTATATCCAATTTTTTTTCCCTGCAGTGCCTCTTCGTACTCCGGAGCTGAGCCTGACCAGCCAGAGCACAACAGACATCCAGGTGAGCTGGCAGCCACTGCCAGCCAAGGTGAGCCGCGGTCGTGTGTCTGCATATAGACTCTCTTATCGCACAGCTGCAGACAGCACCGTCACATCTGTAGAGCTACTGCAGAACAGCACTGAATACCTGCTGGAGGGGCTACAGCCTGACACCATCTACCTGCTCCGCATGGCCGCAGCCACCCGAGTGGGTTGGTGTGAGCCCTCAGCATGGACATCACACCGTACGCCTAAGACCTCCGGCAACAAAGGTAAACCAGCAGAAGTCTGATAAAGAAAAAAAACGTACATTTAGCTGCTTTAAAAAAACAAAAAGTCTCTGCAGGCTCATCACACGATTGTGATTCTAGTTTATTCCTGTTTTCATGCAGTATAAAAATAAATTAAGTTTAAAAAGCAAATTAGTAAATTCTACAGCAAAGTGAAATCAGATGGTGTTTAAACGTGTAACTAGCAGAACCTTTTTTTCTTTTGTTGCATCGCTGTTTGGCTGCTCTTTGAAAACCAGGACACTAGAGTTCATGCAGAGTGGCTAGCATATGACTGGAGTTTGCTGTTTTAGCATTGTCCCACAGTCTTTGTGTTGGTTACTCAGAAACCTTTGCCCTTTGCTGTCAGTGATGCTAGATTGGCCTCAGTCACGGGTCATAAAGAGAGGGCCTCAGGCATCTATGTGGGGGAAAGAATATCCTATTTTCATAGCCTGATGTGCTGGGGAGGTTGTTTTTTTTTTTTTTTTCCACCAGAGCTGAATTTTAGCTTTATATTTACACATTGTTGTAAAACACTAAAACCAAAAGGGAATTCTTGGTTTGACTGCAGCGTCAATCCATTCTTTGGCTGTCCTGCTGTTATTGTTTTTTGTTTTCTGTTATGTCAGTAGTCTCATAATTCTAATGAGTGCTCTCTCTGCTGCCTTCTTAGTGCCTTCAGCCCCTATTCTTCAACTTGAAGCTTTAAACTGCACCTCCATTGTGGCACGCTGGCAAAGCTCCCTTGAATCTGTGGCTATTCAGGGCTATCGTCTGTGTTACCATGAGGAAGGACAACCAGAGCAGCCCGACATCCAGCTGCAGGCTCAAACCAATACGTACACGATTGGTGGCCTTGGTGAGTGTGCCTAGAACCCAGGAGTAAATTAAAAAAATGTTTACAATTAGTGAATTTCCTTTATCTGCACCTGTGCTTTGGACAGGAGACGACAGAGAGTGATGGGCCATTTTTGCATCACTAAAATTTAATTCAATGGGCAGTCGGCTTCTGCATTTGCATTTCCACCCCCTATCCTGATCAATATGTGCTGACCCCTCCTGCCTAACCAGCAGTACTCTCCAGTCAGGCTGGAGTACGAGGCTCCCAGGTTTAGAGGTCAGGTTCCAGATGTCCCTCCCACCACTACTAGCCATCTCGGGCCTTGCATAATTATGCTTAGCCATTGTGTTTTGTCCAGGGCCAGACGTGGCATGTAAGACCCTGGCCACTACCCTTTTTTCAGATGGACACTAGTGCACATGAACAAAGACCAGAGCAAGCCACTGACCTCTAGCCATGGGACAGCACACTTGGATTAGTACCCTACCCCCACCAGTTGTCTCTGATGTCCATTTAAATAATCTACAGATTAAAAAATAAATAAATAAATAAATTATATATATGAATTAGTCTTTGAGCACAGTTTGATTTCTAAGTCCCAAATAAGCTGAAACGGGAGAGGTTTGCATGTTTCTGTTTGGAAATCTATTTGTGCTACTAACCTGTCTAAAAATCCAAAACTCTTCAGTATTATTTAAGTTAAAAAAATCACAAGAGGCTATTAGTCTGATATTTCACAACATCGCTGAACTTCTTTTGTTGCTCCAAGTTTAAAGCTGTAACACAAAAGCGATAGAAAATAACAAAAGAGGCCCACCTCCTATCCCACAGTCCTGCTCCTGGATTCTTTCTGTTCTTGGCCTGACCCGGTGACCCCAGTCAAACCCCCTCCTGTCCCATGGGCCCACAATCCCAGCAGCTGAACGCTGCCCCCACCCCAGCCCCCACAACAGGCCTGGACATATTGCCTTCACTGGTCAATACCCAAAGGATGACCTTTCACTCCAGAGGCATTAAAAATTTTAACGCTCCCTAAAAGCATCCTGATTTAGGTGCTGAGGAAAAGTGGTAGTTTCTCAAGTTAAAATATACAATGTGACAGAATATTTTTAAATGAAAAGTTCAGACCTTAGAGGTCTTGTTTACTTCAGATTTTTTTGTGGCTGTCCTGAATGTCTTATTCAAATATTTTAACTCATCCACCTCTGTTTATTTCTGTGGACATCAGTAATTTGTATTGTATATTGAAGCAAGCTTGTGGTATCAGAGCTTCATAGTTGTAAAGTCAGTTATATGCAGAATCATGGAGTGACAACATTCATGCTGGAGATTTGAGCGTGTCACCTTATTTACATTGGCTTGGGCCTGGTTGAGCTTTCTCATGGTCGTTACACATGACACCACGAGACAAATGAAAGGTTGGGGTGACTCAGGAGGCCATGTATTGTCCATACATGGGGGATGGCCAGTTAAGACCAGTAGTTACCCTCCTGCAGCTAATTGTCCTTATGTCCCCCTCTCACTCTTTTTTAAAAAAAAATAGATTATTAACCACCATGATCTCTCAGCCTTCAGCTTTGTTAGACAATATTTTCAACTAAAGCAGCTTTTCTTTAAATTATTAAATGTTTTTATTCTAGCAAAATGTCCATTAAAATGGCTAAAATCTGAATATTATCTTTCCAGATCCACGGAAAAAGTATCACGTCAAGATTCTGGCTGTCAGCAAAGTTGCAGATGGTCATCAGAGAGACCAGACCATCAGTACCCCAGGATGTGTGTGTAAGTATTGGTGTAAATCATCCATTCCCAAAGACTGCTCTTTTGCAGCCAACCCAAACCTTTAATGTGAAAATCTTGTCAACACACAAGGCTTAGATGAATAATTTCTTCGTGTTTTCATTCATTCAGTTTGGTCTTCTGATGATGGTCTTGTACAATATAGTGTATTTATAGTAAATTACTTCAGTGCTTTCATGGCTGACACTAAAAATGAAATACAACCTTTGCCTGTAAATTAAAAAAAAAAAGATTCATGTTCTTTCCTCCTTTAGCGGCTAGAGACCAACTTGCAGCAGCTCCTCCACCTCCAAATCAAGTCACTGTTTTGGACGGCAATTCATCTGCAGTGTCCCTGCGCTGGAGTCATCCTCCTTTCCCCTCTGGCAAGGCTGTCAGTTATACAGTCCGCTGTACACCTGTGGGCACTCATAACGTCTTTGCAATACGCTATCTGCAAACGTAAGAACCTCCCAAAGGCATGAGAATTGAAGACTGCTTTTAGTTTGGTTTGATGAGTACATCCCTTTAATAATTCACATCTTGTATTTCATGTAATTTGTGAGAATGTATTCTGGGCTATTTCCTGCCAAATTGCCATGATGTGGGAATCTTGTTTCTCTGCAGTACGAAGCAAAGTGTGACAGTTCAGAAGTTGGATCCAAACACTCGTTATGAGTTTATGGTGCGCCTTCATGTGGACCAGATGTCGAGTCCCTGGAGTTCTGTAGTTTACCATCAAACCCTCCCAGCAGGTAACAAACTGGATATCAGTGCAACGTCATTTTACTGTAAATGTGTTTCTTCCTGTTTCTTTCTGATCATTTCATTGCATATTTTTCACCAATGTACTCAGAGTTGTTCTGTGTTCTGTGTGCCTAGCACCAAGCCAACCTCCTGCAGGAGTGCGAGTAACTCTGATTGAGGAAGACACCGCTCTGGTGTCCTGGAGGGAGCCCACTGAGTCCAACGTGGTGATTACACGCTATACCATCCTGTATGCTTCACAAAAAGACTGGATTGCTGGACACTGGCAAAAAGTCCAGAGAGAGGGCAAGTAGTTTACTTTGTTTTTATAATGTGTTAAATACGTTTTTCAGAATAATTCTTTGGGGGATTGAATGATCCAGCCAAGGTTATTGTAGTTAAGTCAAACTAAACTAAAACTGAGTGTGGAAAAAATGTTTCACACCCAGTTTACCTCCTCCTTCTGGTATACTTTACCTCTTAATTGCATATGACGATGTTGTCTTTGCCTCCATACTTAATTAAAACATACAATGAAAAGTCCCAAATTTATGATCTCCTTGTTTGTGACTGAAATATTTTGCGAAGCAAAGTTGGACAAATTGGATCTTCTGGTGTTCTAGTTCTGTACCTCTGGCCATATGTTTGACAGCCATGATCTAATCTTTACTGTGTGATTCTGCTGTCATTTATAGGGAGTCATACGATGGCCTTGCTGGAGAAGCTGGAGCCAGGAAATGTCTACCTTGTAAAAATAGCTGCCTCCAGTGAGGTGGGTGAAGGTCCTTTCTCTGAGATCGTGGAGCTGGCACCGAAGCGAGGAAACGTCCACCGAAGCAAAAATCCCAGACACTCTGACTGGTTTCCAGATAGTACAGGTCAGACATGCTTTTATCTGGCTTTGGTTTCTAAGGCACTGCATTTCTATGTCTGAAATGAAATGGACTGAAAATCCTGTGTGGTAATTCTCAGGTTGTTGTTAGGATTGTGTCTTTAGGTTTAATTTCAGTTCATTTTTATTGAATGGACGTTCCTTTTGTTGACAAAAACTGCTTTTGTTTTTTTAAAGAATGAGATGAATCACAGAAGCAAAAACAAAAACTGTGGGATGTATCTCACTTCCAAAGAACTTCCAAAATGCACATAATGTTTTATTCAGTAAGACTCGAAACAAGTGACTGATCCCATAAATTCAACAGGAAAGAGTTTACAGAGGTCTGGGCAAAGGTCTGTCCCATATCATCCAGTCCAGTGTATTTAGATATTTAAGGGGGGGATATAAGTGTTTTTCTAATAAATGCCTGGTGGACTTCACTTCAAGTACTGCATGCAGTATTGACGGTGAACCACAATGCAGGTTTGTTTAACAGGAGTTTGACTATAATAATAATAAACAGGTACGGCTGCTTTCCGTCTCTTAGATGTATTTTAAGTTAATCTTATAATATAGCAGATCTTTAATTGTTCTCTATTTATCTTCCAGTATTCTCTGATGGTCTCTACCACATAGACCAGAGGTCTATGACGGGGATCATCGTTGGTGTGAGCATCGCTTTGACCTGTATAATTACATGTGCTTTGATTCTGATCAGTAAGGGGAAACAAAGGTACTGATTATCTGTATTTTAAATGATGAAAAAATACTTGGAATCATATAATAAAGCATAAGCATTCTTTCTGATATTTATATATTTATTGTCATTTGTTTAACTAATAGAAAATCTTCCAGTCATAAAGTCATTGCTGTAGGAGCTCCTGAAGGTCCACGTTCTGGTTTTCCCAGTGAACGGCATTCGGAGAATATTGAGGCCCTTATACCCATGATGAGTGATCACTTCATAGATGCTAAGGTGAGAAACGGAACAGTAAATAGGGTTCTCGTGATTACACGTCTGTTGAGAAAACACTCTCATGTAGTTTCCATACGTTCTCTCATTTTTACAGGGTGGATCTAGTATCATCATAAATGGTACGGGTCCAGTCAGCAGCAAGAAGTGGCTGCTTTTCAACAGAGAAATCAGAAATCCAGCTGACAGCGATGTAAGTGATGTGGCATTGTTTTTGCTTACTTGGCTTTTTCCCCAAATAGATTTTACTTTTTGAATCTTAATTTAATTTTGTCCTCATCTTCAGATCGAAACCAGAGCCAGCTTGTACGAAGCTGGCAAAACTGTTCTGAGATACGAGGAGCATCTCGGCTCAGCGCCCTTGCCACCTTCATCACGGGAGATCATCTACGGACCTCTTCGCTCAGAGAGCTCTCACACCAGCGAGGGCAGCCAAGAGACGGGTGACTCTGGACACTACTCCAATGAAGAAAGCAACGAAGAGATGAGCAGCCCGTCGAGCAGCCGAAGCTCTAGGCCTGAATCTTTAGGGCCAGACGACGGCATCGCAGTCTTGGAGCTGAAGCAGTCGTTCAAAGTGGAAAAAGAGGTTGATGCTCCCTTGCTTTGCGGCATCTCAGAGGCTCATGTGGTCTCCAATACTTGTCAAGCAGCCAGCTGCTAACATCATCAGGCCTGCATCTGCTCTCCCAACAGCCAGAGTCATGCCACTTCTACCTCATCCGCTTCCTGATTGGAAGCCCTTTAGATATCTCCTGGGAAACGAGGGATCAGGAATCCTGCTGCTGCAAAGGAAGATGTGTGCGTTTGCTTTGGACTTACCTCAGGATTTTGTATGAACATTTGTCCTAACATTTTTATTTCCATTTTTTTTAAAACAACTTCCTACCTGTATTTCTGTGTTTGGCATGGTCTGTCCTAAACCAAAACTCACCCACGATGAATGTCAAAAAAGAGAATGTCAGAAATGTACTGCGGTGCATTTTCATTATATTTAACTACTTTCCACTGGAGCGGAGGATGTAGTTGAGCCTTTTTAGACTGATTATCTACCTCAGTGTTCTATTCTTTATATACATTACTACCTCCTTTTGTTTTTAACCACCTATTGTGCAGTATTATCTCTGACTCAGGGGACAAAGTGAAAACACTTCATCACCACGTCTTGTTACCGTGTTCAAAAGTTATCGCATAGTTTTTGTTTTCATGGTTGAAAGGGCTTTCGTTACATGTTGTTTGTCTTTGAATCCTGTATGTTGTGAAGAGGAAAAGTGCATTCAGTTTTTTTTCAAACCTTGTAGAGCTTTATCAAACAGTATTGTTTGGCATTTCCAGTGCACTGAACTTCAAGCTTTAATAATGCCTTAACGTCAAAGGGCTTTGCGTACTTTAGATGATGACATCCAAAGACGGGAAAAGTTATACCCAAAGAGTTTTTGATACTACAGAAGATATTCTAAGGCAGCCAAAAACTTAGTAGATTTACATTAAGGGTGTGCTTGCCCAAATTTTGTTTGTGCCAGTGATGTAAATTTCCCTTTAGAACGCTGATTTTCCTCTGTGTAAATTTTATTAATGCTTTATTCTGGTGAAAGCTTTAGCACGAGTCTCCGGGGCTTGTTTCATTTGCCTTCTAGACCATTGCTGAGTGCAGCGGTGATGCCAATGCTATTATCCAAAGAGTTGTCTGCTTCCTCAGATGGGTACAGCCTTTTTTCTTTTATTCAGTCGATCCTTGGTACGAAAATGTTGATGCCAAGACCAAAGATCCAGCGTCCCAGTGACAGATGATGAGGTTTATATTTTTCAGAGAATCATCTGTCACCTTTCACAAATATTGCCGTATGGGAAAGACTTCTCTTTCTCTCTCCATAATGTTTCCTGTCCAGGTGCGACAATGAAGGATTTTGACTATCATAATGGAAACCCTATGTGTGAAGAGCAACATAATCAATTTTTGATACCTTTCTAAAACAAATAATGCTAACCAAAGAATATTGATGTGTATTATTTAGTAATTTTCTTTGGTTTTCATTTACATTATATACATTATTTGCATTTAAATGTGATAATATCTGTGGGTTTGGTTGCTGAAAAGGCATTTTACATAGGGTTTTTCTGTTTTGTTTTGTTTTAAGCTTGAGATGTCAAAAAACAGTGCTTATCACCAAAAAATGTTTTTACCTGAGTAATATGTTTAAATAGTTTAGATGACCCATTTTATAATAATGTCAAGAAAAACATTTCCTAATTTTAATGTGACATTTTTCAAATTACGGTCAGTTTAAAGTTTCTCTGTGAAATGCTTTAATATGAAAGATTGCGTTGTAAGCCACTGATAATTTTGCAGACTTCATTCAGGTTCAGAGTGTAGATTTTAGGGTGTAGATGTATTTGTTATTATTTAAGTTATGTTTTGTTTTTTGAAATATTTCTGCTTTTAAATACCAAATTACATGTTTGATCCAAAGAGAGCAACAAAACAAAGAATTGAATGTGTTAAAATGTTCCAAAAAGCCTTTTTTTGATACTCTCAAGATGATCACACTAGTAGATAAT